ATTTTTTGTTTTTATTTATTTATTTTTCATAAGTGTGAACATCGTTTAAGGTGTGTTACCACTGTTCATTTTGTATTTCCCCTCACCATGCTGCTTTTATCAACAGAACATTAGATTCAATACTCTATAATAATTCGCTAAAATTTCCATACCGACTGTATCGACAATACTGTTTGAAACAAACTCACTGTTGTCAATATTATTATTATATTCATTATTCTCATTTTGGACTTTATTCTTACTGTTAAAGTGGAAAAATTCCTGTGGTTAATTTTATACTTTATATTTTGACTGAATTAGATGTAACATTGTGACAAATTCTCAGAATTTCATGCCATCCTATAAGTACTACTTTTTGAAATAGAACAGAATTATTATTATTATTATTGCTATTATTATCAGTGAGAGGACAATTGGGAAACCAACAGGAAGTACTGGATAGCTGTTTTGTCCAAGTGAGGTAACGAATCCATTATGGATAGATAAGATTTTATTTTGATAAACTCTCACAGTGTAGTGTTATACAGTGAATAATATTAAATAATGATCACATTTCGAGCACAAACCATTGCCACTCATAATCATATCATGTCACTCACTCACACAACTTTCTTCCTTCATTATTATACATGAGTAAAAATTGATGATTAGACATTTGATTGAATAAAATCAATATGAGATAATGTACATTCAGAAATAATAATATGAGTATTATCAATCAATTACAATCAGATGGGAAATAAGACGAGTGTTTTTATAGTCGTAATAAGGAACTTGTTAGGATGTTATGATGTACGTGAATTGAACTGAAATAGAATACAATTTAAGATTATTTATTATCCTCCTCTGATTTGAGTGACTGACTGGTAGTAATAACATCTTCCATATTTCTGGTATTTGCATTGAGTCATTTCTGTTGCATGTGTTGTGTTGCGTGTAGACTCGATGAACCAGGCAGGATTCAGTAATCAATCTCTCTTTCTCTACCTACCCATATTACTTCTTAGAATCTTAACCCTCTCCCACTCACCCTCTTGTGTGGTTGTGTGTTAATGCATGCATGCAGTGCAATCGCTAAGCGTTTTTCTAAATTACTTATCTTCTCGGGGTCAACCATTTTAACTTACTCCAAATTCTCATGTTCCGACCTACCAGTATGACCTACGTAGTTGACCTTACACACAGTCATTGCAAGGTATTTCTTAAATTATATTACTTTGTCTGACCTCATGGTCATGACTGAGAGGTCAGCTACATAGGTCAAACTAGTAGGTCGGGATTAGTCAGATTATCGGAACATCCTGGTTCATTGGGTCTACACGCAACACAACACATGCAACAGAAATGACTCAATGCAAACACCAGAAATATGGAAGATGTTATTACTACCAGTCAGTCACTCAAATCAGAGGAGGATAATAAATAATCTTAAATTGTATTCTATTTCAATTCAGTTCACATACATCACAACATTCTAACAAGTTACTTATTTATTTTGACTATATAAACACTCGTTTTATTTCCCATCCCACTGTATTCGATCAATAACACTCATATTATTATTATTATTTCTGAATGTACATTATCACCTATTGATTTCTATTCAGTCAAATGTCTAATCATCAATTTCACTCGTGTATATAAATGAAGCAAGAAAGTTGTGTGAGTGAGCGGCTTGATATGATTATGAGTGACAATAATTTGTGCTCAAGGGATGGTCATCAGTTAATATTGCTGTATAGCACACTGTGAGAGTTCATCAAAATAAAATCTTATGTATAATGGAGTTATACTCCACCAGTACAGTGCCCAAGTATTATACTTATATCAGTAATTAGCTGCTACATTTTACGGTTAAAGCCTTTGATGCTGTGCTTGTGTACTTAATCCAAGTTTAACCATGATAGCAACAGCGTCTGGATGAGTTCTTTTTGGATGCCAATTCCCAGTTCAATAGATCTTATTTCAACAGCTTCAGCGTATGTGTAAGAAATGTAGGCGAACTGTAAGTGATAAAGACTTCGGAATTCAGCATATAGCCGAAGGGGGAAATTAAGTGCATAAAAAGAAAAGCTCGATCCTGTCACACTTGGTCAATACTGGACATCGTGTAGATGTCAACACAGCTTTCAGGGTTATATACCGAATTCCGAAGTCGTTATCACGTACAGTTCGCTTACATCTGCCAAACATAGCTGAAGCTGTTGCAAAATGATCGACTAAACAGGAACTTTGAATCCGAAAAGAACACGTCCGGACACTGTTTCTATCGTGGTTAAACTTGCATTAATGATTTTCCTTCTCACCAAGATTGCTCCTTCCCCTTAACCCTCCTGGTTTCTTTTTTTTTTGCTTTGCTTGTTATTACATTTAGTATTATTATTTAACTGGTCGATGGTGACTAGCAGTGGAATCTAACAGCATGCGCATTTCGTCCTATTTGGGGCTCGTCATCTGGATATACCTGCATTCCCCAGGGAGTGATGATGTTCCCACCGAGGCTAGTCATCATCCGCCAGTTAACTTCCAACTCCATACCCAGACATTGTCGAAGCATCTGCTCAAGAAGCCGACAGACATGTCAACACTTGAGACCGAGTACTTCGGTCCAATCAATCGACAGGAAATATATGTGTAAAACTTGGGCACTGTGGTAGTAAGTAATTCCATATTAATTTGTTTATTAGATATATCACACAGTGAAGCAGTATTATTTACTGGATGACACAGTTTCGAACAAAATTTATTGTTCATAATCATATCAAAAGTGGCATTCAAACCCACAAACTAAATTAGAAACAAACTTTGTCGGTTAAAGGATCCTGCCAGTGGAGCCTTTAAAACAAAACAAGTTAAGTTATCTAATACCCTGCCAGAATGATTGTCAGGTCAAATACATAGGTTAAACTAGTAGAACTGGTGCAGTCAGACTAACCGAACATAAAAACTTAGCAAAATCTAGATTGGTTGACCCAAATAAGATAAGAAATCTAGAGAATAGTTCAGCTATAGTACTACATGCAGTTACACACAACCATACAATAGACTGGATGGGATAAGGTGACAGTTTTAAAATCTAAGCTCACAGGGTGCAGTGAGGGAGAGATTGATAACAGAAGCTTTATTTATCGAATCAACTGCAAATACGCCAAATAGGAGAAGACAAAGAAAACTATAAAACTCAAGCCTCAAAGTCGAGTGATTATAATTGATGAAATGATGATTATGAACAATGAATAAATTTTGTTCGAAACTGTGTCATCCAGTAAATAATGTCTGTCTGCCTGTTTTCGACATAGAACTTTGCACAAATGTGCACCAGTTCAAGTCACCAAACTCTGTGTAGCACGCGAAGCAAGAGAAGAAAGTACAAGAAATGCATAATAGAGACAGTGAGCAGAGGTGTGAGACAAAAGAGGAGTAATAACGAAGAACAAAACAGTTTCATTGGAAATCATAAGTCACAAGGAGTGGATGCATCTGAGCCAGCCAGCCAGCCAGCCATTGAGAACGATTTTGAGCCATGTCACCAATTGTTTCCAACCATTGGCTTTTTACCGTCATCCCGAGGACCACAACCAGTCAGGAAGTCTACACCTTCCTACGTGGCTTAGACTAACTGTTGTAGATTTCATTGACTGGTGAAGCCATGTTTTGGTATGACTAACGTTAGCTTTTTTTCAGCCTGACCCTATATCCGCTAACATTGCTCGTCGAGGAGGCGATGGCTTGGCATACGTAACACATGTCCTAACCATCTCAGTCTTTGTAACTTCACGACTTCGTCGATCGATTTCCCCTGTTTACCTAGAACTCGACGCCTAACCTCAATATTGCTCACCTTATTATGCCACTTCACAAGGGAGATAGAGCGCAGGCACCTATGATCAAAGACAGCTAGTCTTTTCATGTCTTCCACTCTCAGTGGCCAGGTCTCACAGCTAGCCATAAAGGAGGACGGAGCGGACTGATGAGCAGTACACCCGCTCTTTGGTCGATACTCGGATATCACGTCTACTCCATAGACGGCGTAAACTGGCATATGCGAAACTAGCCCTCTGTATCCGTACTGAGATTTCGTCAGCGATCAACCCGTTGGCACTGGCTGATGGTATCTCCCAAATAAGTGAAGCGGTCAACGTGCTCTACCACTTCCCTTCCTTATTATTATTATTATTATTTACATCCAGCAAATAATAATACTGTTTCACTGACTGTGTGATATATCTAATAAACAAACTAATATGGAATCGACGGGAAAGTCTAAAATTTAATTAAATTACTATTATTATTATTATTATCCGTTATAATTAATACCCTTCATTCAAATATTCACCGTAGTTACGTAACCTCTTATATTAATTATACTCGTCCTAGTTAAACTGTTTTTCTATTCTCAAGAGTATTGGTCTAATTATCTTACCTTATTTGAACATAGAAAGAACAAACATAGGCACAGAATAACATGGATTCATTTTATGTTTCCTTGGTTCATCTCATCATCTGCATACAACCTATAATCCTTAATGAATAAAATTCGACGTAAAAGTTAACATACTTTTGTCTGTCAACAGGTACACTGTGAGAGCGTCATAGGGGGATAAAACATCAGGGTGATGAAGTATCCGAAGTATTACTGTATATATATATATATATATATATATATATATATATATATATATGATAAGGAGGAGGACGTGGTGTGAAGAGGAGATGAAAGCATGTGGGCAGACTTGAGGCGGGGTGAAAAAGTTGGCACGAAACAGAAGGCAATGGAGACGCGCAGCTGAAGCCCTATGTTCCTCTAGGAATTAAAGGATATAATAATACAAAATAACAGTTGTGGAATACGACATGGTACTCTGTCGAAATGACTTTTAATTCAGAGTATAGCAGGCACTGATGACCACAAATAACTGCATCCCAACAAAAATAGTGGTTAATTTAACAATGCAATCAATCAAAGAAAATATTCAACATATACGCATATTACCACTTACCCTTTCCAATAAACTTATTGTCTTCTCCAAAGCTCCTTCTGGACGTCCAAATGGAAAACAATAACGAAATTCAGTAATCTGTTTCTCCAACAGTGTTGTTAATCTAGCCTTAATCACCTGGAATTGATCACGTTCCACTGCTAATACTGTATGTACAGCTTGATCGTGTTGACTTGAAGATAAGATAAAGTTGAAAAGAAAAGAATAAAGGGAAAATATATTTTCTCTGATTATAAAGATGGGTTCGATTAACAAAAAAAAAGAAAAACGAAAACCCTACCTGATGACTTGATATCGATATTCTGAGCCCAAATAATAGAGAAGATAGGCACAGTCTCGCGTTATTGATCATGAGCTGACATCAGTTACACAGTCCTGAATAGCTGTTTCGTCCTAGATGGGGACTCTTCAGAATTCGTAACTAGTGGGGTATATCAAGTTTAGTAAGAGACGTTGGAATGCGTAGGCCATTTGGTTGAGCCTCATTGGCTGAAGAGTTTGCGAACTCACTCTGTGATCCTTAGCTCCTGGATTCGGACCTCAGTGGGTACTTACTGATGAAGACACCTAAACTAGGAAGAAAAATGTTTTATTAAGTACTTCCTAATCTTCCAGGTGTCCTCTAACTAATGTCACCTCATGATCAAACGCGTAATCAAACCATCTTTTGATATTTACGTATAAGTCCTCACTATCTTTCAAATTTCAAAGCCACGATTACTGCCTCTTTAGTAAATGGACGACCACGTTTAGTGCTGTGATGCTGTTCTACTTCTCCAGAGATGCCAATGTATGAATTTCAATCCACCTGTTACCATGAAGCCGTAGTATCACCGAACTTCAAACAATATATGTGCCTCATAATCTTGTAAACGAAAAATATATTCCGAATAACTGTATTCTAAGCTTATTACTAACGATCAGTAAGCTAAACCTAGAAAAGTGTCTGTAACCATGGTATGTGCTTTGCGCGGTCTAAGTACACAGTAATGTTACAAGATTAGCAGGAGCCTGTACCTCCACTCACTCTGCCAGGTGAACTACTTGAAGTTGTCGACAAGTCTATGTATTTATGTAGTTGCGTGAGTGCTAGCAAGTGGCCGATGGATAAGATTTCCAAATGTATAATGAAAGCTAGAGTGGCATACATACCCTTCAGCTACCTCTGCTGCCGTCGCGACGTTAGCCTGGCTGTCAAAGGTCAGGTGTACAATGCTTTGGTGTGGGTAGTCTCACTCTTCGCCTGTGAAACCTTGCCTTTCTGAGTTGAGGATGTGTGGTGGATCCATGTACTCAATCATCACTGTCTCCACAGGATTGCTTGCGTTCTATGGCATCATGGTGAGAGTAATTCTGAGGTTCAGCGGCGTGTATTTGATGGCATTATCATATATGCAACATTGACTAAGCAATTTCTTTTGCCATTTAATGCCTTTTTCCGTAATATAAATACGACTATACAGTTGGCTTGAAAATTAACTCATTGGAAAGAGATATTTTCTTCCTGAACAATAGTACTGTGTTTTTTCTTATAAACTAATGAGTATTTAATTTAATTTTAAATTTTCACATCGATTGATTGGACCGAAGTGCTCGGTCTCAGGTTGGCATGTAGGCTTCTTATGCAGATGTGTCGACGATGTCTGGGCATGTAATTCGAAGTTAAATAGTTGATCGTGACTATCAATGAAATCCAGGATGCGCAATTCTTCCTCTACTTAGGACTCACCATCTTGAATGCAGGTACATCCACTAGCTGACAAGTCCAAAGTAGAGAACGAAATGCGCATCCTGGTTGATTCCACTGCTAGTCACCATCCAACAATTAACGTCTAACTAATGAGGATATTTCGCGATTTGAATAATAAATACTCTAGCTGAAAATTCAAAGCTAATACCTTGAAGCCAAGAGTTCCTGGTGAAACGCAAAAAATGAAGAGAACAATGCCCCCAAACTTCGCTTACATCAAAAAATACTAGCCCCACGAGGAAATGTAATCAAAATAGTGCCACATATATATATATATATATATATATATATATATATATATATATATATAGCAACCCCACCCTGTAAACAAAATTGCTACAGAAACTTCAGTATGTTGAACCTCCTTGCACCAAAAGAAAAAGTCTGTGTAGGAACATGGAACGTCCGAACTATGTACGAGACTGGAAAAGCTGCCCAGATCGCCAACGAGATGAAAAGATACGGAATACAAGTGCTGGGAATATGTGAGAGCAGATGGAATGGGAGTGGACTCACCAAATTGTCAACAGGTGAGTCAGTGATCTACTCCGGTCACCCAGAAGATAACCACACGCACACCGAGGGCGTGGCTATCATGATGTCACCAACGGCAACGAAAGCCCTGATACAATGGGAGGCGATTTCGTCCAGGATAATGACCGCCAGGTTCAACTCCAAAGGAAGGAAAGTGTCAATCATACAATGTTATGCACCCACAAACAACGCAGACCTCGAGAAGAAAGAAGAATTCTACAGGCAACTACAGGCAACAATGGACAATACTCCAGCTGGCGACATGAAAATACTAATGGGAGACATGAACGCCAAACTGGGACCAGACAATACGGGAAGGGAACTCATCATGGGTAGAGAAGCTCTAGGAGAAATGAATGAAAACGGAGAACTCTTCGCCGACTTCTGCGCCTTCAACGAACTGGTGATTGGTGGCAGTGTATACAAGCACAAAGATATCCACAAGGCTACATGGGTGTCACCAGACGGGCAAACCAAAAACCAAATCGACTTCATCTCAATCTCAAGGAAGTGGAGGCGCAGCCTACTGGACACAAAAGCAAGAAGAGGAGCAGACGTTGGCTCAGACCACTATCTCGTACAAGGGACAATCCAAATCAAATTAAAAGCTTTCAGGGAATCAGGAGCTGCAGATAGACCACAAGCCAAGTTCAACACTCAAAAGCTGAAGGACCAGGCTACAAAGGACATCTTCATTGCAAGCATAAAGGACAAAGCCGAGACACAAATCAACACTAGCGAAGAGGTCGGCGTTGAAAAGCACTGGAACAACTTGAAAACGGTGTGGAGCCAAACCTGCATAGAAATTCTAGGCAGAAAAAAGAGACAGGACAAACAGTGGCTCACTACGGACACTTGGAAACTAATAGAAGAGAGAAGGACAGTGAAGCAAAAGATTATCCAGTGCACGACGAGCAACAAAAACAGGAGCTGAATGCAAGCTACAATACACTGAACAAAAGAGTGAAGAAAAGTGCCAGGGAAGACAAAAGAAAATATTATGAAACCATGGCAAACGAAGCAGAACAAGCTGCAGGCAAAGGAGACCTCGCCACACTCTACCAAACAACTAGGAACCTTTCGGGCAAACGTTCGACACAGATTAAGCCAATAAAGGACGACAATGGAAAGTCAATCACCAAAGAGGTGGAACAGAGAAAGCACTGGGTTGAACACTTCAAAAGACTTCTAAATCGTCCGCCACCTACAACACGTCCAGCAATACCAACAACGGAAGCAGAACTACCAGTGAACACTGACCCCCCGACGAAATCAGAAGTCCTGAATGCAATCAAGATGCTTAAAACTGGGAAAACACCGGGACCAGATGGAATCCCAGCAGAGGCTTTGAAAATAGACCCAGAGACAACAGCGGACTTGATGACACCACTGCTGGAGAAGGTGTGGAAAGAGGGCAAAGTACCCGAGGATTGGAAGAACAGTTACTTATTCAAACTTCCAAAGAAAGGAGACTTAAGTCAATGTAAAAACTGGCGTGGAATTATGCTTCTGTCCATTCCAAGCAAGATACTAAGTCGCATCATCCTGGAGAGAATCAAACAAGCCCTAGATGAAAAACTTCGTCCGGAACAGGCTGGATTCAGGAGAAACAAATCATGTATTGATCAAATCGCCACTCTACGGATCATCATTGAACAAAGCTTGGAATGGCAGTCACCTCTCTATCTCAACTTCATCGACTTTGAAAAGGCCTTCGACAGCGTCGATCGAGAGGTCATTTGGAAACTACTTCGCTACTACGGGGTCCCATCGACAATTATACACCTCATCCAACAGTTATACGACAATGCTGCATGCCAAGTAATCCACAACGGGAAACTTACGGAAGCCTTCGAAGTGAGGACGGGAGTGAGGCAAGGCTGTCTACTATCACCAATGATCTTCCTGATTGCAATTGATTGGATAATGCGACAGACAACGGCAACCAACGAGGGAACAGGCATAAAATGGACTGACACAAAAGACTTGGAGGATCTGGATTTCGCCGATGATATATGTCTGATTTCCCATAAACTGGAAGATATGCAAGTGAAAAGTAACAAGTTGGCAGAAGAAGCATCAAAGATAGGACTTCACGTGAACATAGATAAAACAGAGATGATGAAGATTCCTGGCCAACACCGACAGGCAACAACAACAGACAACAATAAGCATAAATGGGAAGAACCTGAAAGAAACAACCTCCTTCACCTACCTGGGAAGCATCGTCTCAACTACAGGCGGAACTGACGAGGACATCAAAGCCAGAATCGGAAAAGCAAGACAAGCTTTCATTACTCTCAAATCTGTGTGGAGGTCAACAGCACTCATCATCAAAAATAAGATCCGGATTTTCAACTCCAATGTGAAGTCAGTGCTACTATACGGATCAGAGACTTGGCGTATCACGAAGGGCACCTCAAACAAGCTACACACCTTGCTCAACTGATGTCTTCGCTCAATACTCACGATCAGATGGCCAGAAAAGATCGGCAACGGGGATCTCTGGGAACGAACCAATCAGGAACCGACTGTTAAACAAAAAGGCAGGAAGAAATGGAGATGAATTGGCGATACTCTGAGGAAACCATCAAGTGACATCACTAGACAAGCCCTCGAGTGGAACCCGAAAGGGAGGTGACGACTTGGTCGTCAGTGCGAGAGTGATAAGGAGGAGGACGTGGTGTGAAGAGGAGATGAAAGCATGTGGGCAGACTTGAAGCGGGGTGAAAGAGTTGGAAGGAAACAGAAGGCAATGGAGACGCGCAGCTGAAGCCCTATGTTCCTCTAGGAATTAAAGGATATAATAATAATAATATTATCATTATTATTGTTATAACTAATTGCACAATTTGCATTCACCATCTTATTAACCTGTACACATATATAAATGTTTAAATAACGAAATGATAAAACAATAAGTGAATTATTTTTCTCCAATGGAAAACACTTACGCCTTCCCACTGACATGATTAGCACACAACGCATAACTGATATGAATTAGATCAGGATCTATAGTCATACCATTTTCTATCTTGTTCAGCAGATTAATTAACATGGCTAAATGCCGCTGACATTCACGTATCCCATAACGTGTACAATATTCATCTAACAGATGACGTTGTATTGGACTTAGACAACCAAGTGAGACAAATGGATCCTTTATCAAAAAAAGAAAAAATCAAATTTAATATAGACGGAATAGAATAACTGATCAATGGTTGAATATAAAACCCGGTTAGATCACGAACTAAAACCACTTAGAGAATTACTACGAACTAAAGAATACTGAGTAGTTGTTTCGTCCTAGTTTGAGCCTCTTCTGAGGCACGCAACCAAGATCTACCCTACTCAGGTTGGAATGCAAAACCTTCAGGTTACGAGGTGGAAGCATTCAGACATTGGGACAGGATCCAGTGGTTGATGAATTCTACATTCAGTGGTTTCAGGGGATTCTCTAATTGAAATTAGTTCATGGACTAACAACCTCCTCATTGATGCAGTCAAAGATCGACAAATATCCCTCACATGTTACCCCCAATTGTGTATACCAATTCACATGGATCCGCGGGAGCAGTTACATTGGAAGAACAGAGAGGAGAGGGCCTACGTCAGATTCTGCGAACATGTACCAAAGAGCCTCCGGTTAAAGGGACCGAATTGTTTAAGCTCTTCAATCGCCACCAAACACTTGATTGACACAGGACACCAAGTAGATGTGCTGGAATCATTCAAAATAACTAACATACAAACTAGTACCTCAAGTCTTCTCAGGTTTGCTGAAGCTATAGGAATAAAACGATTGAAGCCTGACCTATGCGTTGAAAGAGAATCCGTTTTTGGACTTCAGTTACCCTGGTGACTGACATCTTGGTAACTCTTTGTTTTCTAATTTTGTTAACTTATCTCTTAACTCCCCCTTCATTTTAATTTTCGCTTGACTCCCTTAAGAGATAATTTTTCTCGATCTTCTGAGTTCTGCTCACTGTATTACATCATCAACTTCTCATCTGAACTCATGTGCACCGAAATTTTAAAATTTTGACCTTCTCTTATCTAATTACGTGACACTTTAGACACCCCGTAAATCTCAACGCCTTATTTTACTATGACGCTCTGACAATATGCGCTTGCTAATGGACAAAAGTTTGTTAAAATTGTACACTTTTTTTATTTTATTTTATCAAAGAATTCAGGTTGTACGCAGGTGCTGATGAGAACCAACGAAATAAAATGGATCCAGATTATTCTGTGCGCCAATGTTTCTTCTTTCTTTGTTCAAATTAATATAAGGGAATCATTGTATGAAAGACTAACTTCTTATAATTGGAAGTTATCTGATCTCTACTAAACAGGTTTTGAATGACTGGTAGATGATCAGATGTACGACTAAGCATGAATTCTGAAATTGTTGACCCTACACTTCTGAATTCAGTTAACAATAATTCGTCATAAAAGCTACTCAACGTATGTAGTCATATTTGTATGATGATATAGATACCTTATTCTCAACATGTCATTTTACATGTCTGTTTGTATTTCTTTCACCAAACTTATTGATTTATAAAATGATTTTCTCTCATGCTACTTATGACCTTTGAAATCCTATTGGTTACTCACTGTCTCAATTTTTTAATGACATTAGTGCCTCTCAAGGTCATTTTAAACATATATATATATATATATATATATATATATATATGCCAGCTCTGTCAACCTTTTTTTGACTGTTGTTTTGAGACAATCAAAAGCTCTCTTATCAACATCTAGTAATTTCTTCTGTCTTTGAGGTCCACCGGTGTTGCTAGTGTTGCCAACGCACTAAGTTAACATTCCCTCATAGTCTACTAGGTTGTAGTTCCGATGATAACAGATGCAAATGAATGCATGTTTTTCAAGTGTTGGTTTGTAGGAATTTGATTGGTTTCAGAATTTCATCATGAGCTGACATCAATTAGAGAACCATTAGAAAACCTGGGAGTACTGGACAGCTGTTTCCTAAGTCCTAGTCTGGGACCCTTCAGCAGTACACACCCACTGGGATTCGAACCCAGGACCTTCTGGTTACAAGGCTAGCGAGCTCGTATACCATTAAGCCACTAGTAGGGTGCAGCAAGTCGGGTGTGATGACAATTACTCGCCGAAGACATTGGCTGGGGGTCGCGCTATGTCGTGAATTGACAGAAGTTAGAATTCATGGTTTGGCCATTGGATCGGTTCCCAGTAGCCTAATGGTATACGAGCTCGCTAGCCTTGTAACCAGAGGGTCCTGGATTCGAATCCCGGTGGGTGCATGCTGATGAAGATTCCCAAACCAGGCTGACGTAACAGCTAGCTGTCCAGCACTCCCAGGTTTTCCGGTGGTTCTCTAACTAATGCCAGCTCATGATGAAATCCTGGAATGCATGTTTCATTAGAAAACCTCCTTTTTTACCAAAGGATTTTTTTTAGAGTACAATTCCATTGTGGGTGAAATTTATTCTGATAAAGTCTTACAGTGTGTTATACAGTAAGTAATATTTACTGATGACCACGTTTCGAGCACAATTTATTGCTCAGGAAATATTACTGTATAACAATGTGTAAGACTTTATCAAAATAAATTTTACCCACAACGGAATTTATACTCTGTTGATATACTCCGACCTAAAACTGTGAACTATTTTTATCAAATATAAGAGAAAGGTATCCTGTGTAACACTTTTCTACAGTTTGTATGCATTTTTGTTTCATAAATATATATGTATTCCATACACAAAAATGCCTGTCTCACGTGATTGGTGCATTCGAGGTCATTCGCTGATTGGTAGTTGGTGGGTGGGTGCTTAAAGTTTAACTTTGCCAATATCTTATCGATGTTCAGCCTTTTCTAATGTCTCAGCGTGCTAGCGGTTTTATTGTTGACATACGATTAGGATAGATTAGCCAGCGGATTAAGTTAGTGTTAGTCAGTTCCATCATAACAGTCTTGTTTGTAACAAATCATAGCACACATATTTTTGCTTTTTTTGAACTTACCGTTAAACGATAGTCTAAGCTTAAAGATTGTAGAAGAGCAAAATATTCTAAATGATCAAGTGTATGAACTGGGGTTGAAGCATATTCTTCAATCGTTTTCATTTGACTAGTTTCTACTTCAGCAGTACCTATTAGAAATTGAACAGATATATAATAAATAGTATTGATTTCAATATCAATTGTCAATTGTTAATATACAATTGGTGGATGGTGGCTAGCAGTGGAATCCAGGATGCGCATTTCGTCCTATTTGGTCAATTGTTAAGTTATTTGTAAAGTAAAATTGTTTTAATGATATTGCTAAGACAAACGAGCGCTTCATGTGAACTTCAGTGTGCACCGAAGTTGGAAATGCTTCTGGTATACAAAAAGTCATTTCTTATCAAGAACGGATTATCAGCAAGGGACTCCAAGAAAGAACCAAACCAACAACTTACTGACCAAAAAATATCTTGAAGGAAATAGAGACGGATTGGAGATACTCTGAGAAAACAAATGAGTGACATCACGGTGTTAGACCTTAGACCAGAATGAGAAATGACGAGTTGGATGTAGGTCCAACTGTGGAATGGAGAAGATTATGTGAGGAGGGAATGAAAGCCTATGGACAATCGTAGAGTTAGCTTGAAAAAACTTCAGACAACAGAACCAAGTCCAGATGTACTGCCAAAGCTCCATGTTTTGCTGGGAATAATAATGCCAATAATAATAATAATAATAATAATAATAATAATCTACTAAACACTTAATGATGTGCTGTGACCGAGTGATCTACTAAATATGATAGAGAAGATTTGTAGCTCAGGTGGATGATTTTGATGTGGTTTTGTTCTCTGAGCTGGATGGTATATCTCAGAAATCACTACAAGACTCTTCAAACCTTTAGGAATTGACGTCGTACACAAACCAACAAAGTCGCTGCACTCAATTCTATGTCAACCGAAAGACTCAACAGCGAAAGAAGACAAAACCAACATCATCTACAAAATAAACTGTAACAACTGCGAAAAACACTACATTGGCCAAAGTGGACGTCCCCTTCGTCTTCGTATCCACGAACATAAGCTAGCCGTCAAAAGACATGATATCCACCCCCTCATTTCACTACAAACAGACAACTACGGACATCAATTCGACTGGGACAACGTTCAAATATTAGACAAAGGAAATAACAAGAATGCTAGAGAATTTTTAGAAGCTTGCCTGGTATTCCAGTGGATCATCAATCAATAGACACATCGAGATAGACAAAAGTTATCAACCAATCAGAAAGAAACTTCACACACAAAGGGTCAAAGTTCAAGTCAAAGAAACAACCAGTCCCAATACAAGTAACCTAGAAGGTGTGAAAACACACACAAACAACCAATCACATTCAAGGTCACCAGGAGAGATGATTAATAAACTCGTGGAGAAACCTACAAGCTCACTTCAAATTGAAGTATGCGCTAAAGATGTCACCCAGTAGGGTGATGAAAGCTTCGCAAACTAACCATCCAGCTCAGAGAACAAAACCACATCAAAAGTGATCTACTAAGTTTGATCAATAGGAAGTTGTTAACTGATGACACATTAATTGACACAAGATAGGGATCATACATCTTCGTATTCCAACTTAGTAGCTGACTGAGCGATGACGATGTTGTCTATGTAAATTGAAGAGTTCAAAGCTAGAATGGAACAGTTATCCAGTGTCCCCTTGTGGTAGGAGCTGTCTGCTAGCCAAATCGGTAGACAGTAATTTACGTCAAGTTGTACGTCCCCAATATTAGTCATGAGAAAAATAAGAACAAAGAGTGACTGACTCAACAACCAATCACAGCTGACTTAGCGTATGCGGATACAATTAGTAGATAGCAGATGAACTGACATTCAAGAAAATGTCGCAAAGAGATGAAAGATTAACTTTCAGTAAGGAACAACCAATCAGAAGACAGTGTTTTTCTGCTAAAAATAAACTATAACAAGGTACATGAAAATCTATAAATATGTGTTGATTTCGTAAATAAAATATCTGCTGCCTGACCCTTGTCTTCTGTTGTTACACCCTATTTTCTAATTCTCCTTTAACAAATGCTGATTCATAAAGAAACCCTGTGTTGATAAACAGCTATGGTGTCTACCTATCCTCATCACTGTAACCTCAATATGTACGTAAGGTAGGCAGATACCTTATGAAATTCTTGGTAAGCTTACTGTCCAACATGTCTTTAAATAGCTTGACAATAAGCCGAATGTGATCGAACTAGAATACTAAGTTGTCAGAAGGTAGAAACTATGGACTAATTGTGTAATTGGTTAACGTGATGACATTGTAGCCTGAAAGTTCTAATTCCGATCTCCGGTAGGATGGTGAGTGCATAATACTAAAGAAACCCAAACCAGAGTGAAGCAACTGTCTAGGATCCCTTGGTGGTGTTTCCAGTAACATCAATCCATGCCTAGACTTGAGACAAATCAAATCCATACATGCTAACTCTTGGAAACTATCTGGCGGATAGTAATATATGCTGAAGTGATAGTCATCCGTAAAACTAAGGCCTCCTCCCCGCTGTGTATACCAAAATCAGTTTATTATTACTCTATGCCTTTCTTGGTAATCTTTTATCTGATTACAAGAGTAGTGTCAGTTATTATCCTTCTTTCCAAGTTCCTTGAATACCGAGAACATAGGGATACACGCTTTTTTTCGGAAGCTTCAGTAGCACGGTTTGCTATTTTAGGCGATAGGGTTATTAGCATCTTCCAGACATTATCAGCTGGCGAACGGAGTGCGGTACAAGTGTAGGTAGGTTGGGAATGACCTCAGGTCAAATGCTTGGTCGGCTAGGATTCCGCTATGAGGGTTTGGATTTCTTCAAAAACACTCGAATCAAATATGCCTATCCAACCCAAGTCGTTGACAAATATCTAAAGAGAAAAATCAATACTCCACAAGACTAGGATGTGCTGAAGAAGTAATTAGTCGTAAAATTTGAAATTCAAGGGAAATGTAATTAGTGAAGTCCTCTGAAGCCATCTGTAGACAGCAGTTTGCTCCAGTGAACAGTTGTCAACAACAAGATTGTCAAAAGAAGAATACAGAACAATTGACAGCTTTATTCTAGAGCTCATTAGTACTTCTAGTCGTACAGAATCAGAACAGACTTCGTTCGCATTCACTTAAAGAGTGAGATCAATGTGTTAAAAAGGGATTCCACACACATCTTCATCATGCAGTCGAAATTTTAGCGATTCATTAGGAAAACCCTACACTTTGTGTTCGGAAACGATCTATCCAGCCTCTTTTACTACCGTGGAGTTAAGTGACAATTTATGTTCTCCTTAGCTCTTGCATAGTAGTGCTTTTATTATTTAAGAATTTATTTTTGTAACCTACAACCTGTAATCAATCACTTCTCCTATTTCCGCTCAATTATTTCCCAATGACTATTCATCACTTAACTAAATAGTTGTTAACCCTATCACTTTGTTCACTAGTGACCTGTTACAGGACAGAGTTGCCTGTAGTTTTCTAGTGACAAGTCATGACCAGTGAGATCCATTTAGTCGGAAGTGAGGATGGAGTTCCTGTCGATGATACTGGTTGGTCGGTGGTCACTCTAAAAATTATGAATTGGTAGAACTTAGAATTCATAGGCTGACCATTGATGAATGGGGTCCCATTGTCTGAATGGTCTACAAGGTTGCCTTGTAACCGGAAGGTCCTGGTTTCAAAAACAATGACGGTGGGTGCATACTCCCGATGAATCCCGAAACTAGGCTGACGAAACAGCTGTCTGTCCAGTACTCCCTGTGGCTGGTTTTCAACTATTTTCTAACTGATATCAATCCATTGGCAAACTCGAAATACAAATCAACTCTTCGAAAACTTGACAATTACGGAAAATACGCATAATTTTTCAAGGATTAATGTTATTCGTATACTTTGGTTTATTCTGTTACTAACTGGCAATAACCTGTGTGACCTCTATTTTCAGTTAACATTCTACATATATAACCCCCCCCACCTGGACAACTGTGAAACTCTGAAGTGAAGTTATTGAAAGATTTCTCTTTGGTACTAACGGTTGTCGTTAAGATTATCGCCATTATTTACCAGATGTGTAATCTTCGTACAACCCCCCGAAAATAATCCTACGAAGCAGAACACGGCTTATTGGGGTTGATGCAGCTTCGGAAAGAAGCAGTTATCGGTCTTTCCTTTTTCTGCCCTGTTAACTGGATGACCTTACTCTCTCTCTCTCTCTCCCATTTGATTACGTAATCTCTGGCTGTAAACTCACCATGTCACCTATGATACAGCGCTTGTCTCTTGTTTCTACGACTTGAGTTGAACTTAGTAAACTGTCACCTACTTTAATAATTACTCATTATCTTACGCATCTCTCATCTTTATTGCATAACTCTTTTACCATTCTATGCATACATTTACTTTGTTTAAACTTGAATTGCCTGGATAGAAACTATACAAGTGTAATTTCCTGAACACTGTTCACAAAACTTTTAACTTCCTGTCAATTGACGTCAGTCATGTAACATTTGCAAGTATGTTAAAACTTTTCTGTACATAAACTTAATAATAATAATAATAATAATAATTTACTTAGACTGTAAGCAAGCAGCTGATGAGAAGCCAACGAAATACAGGATGATGGTACTATATTATTCTGCACAAACCACAATTGTTGTTCTCGCTTTACTGAAATTTATAAAGACTGTCTGGTTTCAACATATAACAAGTTTGCACAGATGTACAAGTGGTTCGAGCATGTCACATTCCCTCCATGTGCCATTTAAAGCAAGAGATGGTAAAAATATATCCAAAGTAGAGACAGTACACAGAGATATGAGGCAAAAAGAATGGTATTATGGAAGAGGAAGAGTATTCTATCGGATATGATAAATCACGAGGAATGAATGAATCTGCACCAGATATTTAGAACGAAGATTTCGAGCCATATCATCAATTGTCTCCAGTCTTTATTGGTTCGTACCATCCCCATGACCCCAACCAGTCAGGTAGTCTACACCTGCCTCCGTACGTCGCTGGTTTAAACTAACTGTTGTGGATTTCATTGACCGATGCTATAATTTGGTTTGGCCACCACTAGCTATTTTTCAAACTGATCCATCCTGTGTCAGTTAACATTGCTCATCGGTCGAGGTAGGCGATCGCTGAACAGGTATGCGTAAGTAACAAATGTCCTAACCATCTCAATCAATGTAACTTCACAGCCTCGTCTATTGATTTCCCCTCCATGCCTAGCACGCGACTCACACTTAACCTCAATATTGCTCACACTATTATATCACTTCACACGGGTGATGGAATGCAGGGGAATAAATGTATAAGCAAAAAAAAAACCAAAAATTGTGGAAAACACGACTTACCTTTGCCTTGATCATTTGTTAGCGCTGTACTACTAACAGCTCCTGGCGCTGTAGGTTTATGCGTTTGACCAGTAGCCCTATACAACGCCTGTATCCAATTCTGTCGATCGATTTCAGCCGATGAGGCTACAATCAGTGTATCACCTTCTCGAACAAGTTTAAAGAAAAATCTTGGCGTATTATCGCATTCTAGCACACCGAGTGGACCACTGCCTACATTTCTTTGACTGCCTATTCGCGCCAGTGAACTAAATCGAAGTCGTGATAATGAGGTTAACGAGGATGTCGATGCATGGTGATCTGGTTTACCGTTTCGACCAAATGTAGCCAGATTTATTAAATCTGAATGGGAAAATATAATAATGGTAACAATAATGTTAGAGATCAATTTATTCCAAACTATGACTGAATAGGTCACAGGACTTGATCATGAGCTGACATTGGTTAGAGAACTATCGGAAAACCCCCTAGGAGCACTGGAAAGCTTTTCCGTCTCACTTTGAGACTCTTCATCAGTAAGCACCCGCCGGTTTTCGAACTCCGGTGCTCACTAGAGACTGGGACCCTAGTCAGAAGTCATGATCAGTAGGTAGGCTGTGAGGACAAATAATCTCCGAAGACGTTGACTAGGGGTCGCGCTATGTCGTGAATTGTCAGAAGTTAGAATCCATGGGTTGGCCTAATGGTCTGTGGGATAGCTGGCCTTGTAACCAGAAAATCCTAAGTTCGGACTCCGGTGGGTGCATACTGATGAAAAGCCTCAAGCAAGGCCGATGAAACAGCTCTCCAGTACTTCCTGCAGGTTTTATTCTGGTCCTCTAACCGATGTCAGCTCATGATGAGATTCTCCAACCAATCAAACAAAATTCCTACAAATCACCAATACTTGAAAATTATTGAATACAAAATGAAATTACCAGAAATTTCGTATTGTAACACAATAACCACTTACAGAAATTAAAACAAAAGAATTAATCACGAAATCTACAGATTGTACTGAGTAATTTTTAGGAACAGTCATTTCATTTGCTGTTGTACGGTTCATTGTTTCGTGACATCCACTGTAGTATTTTGACTAGACATTAGATAGCGACTGATATGATGCGTCTGGTCGTTTGTTTGATACTAATTGAATTCTGTCAGTCTTGGATCTCACAAGGGACATGAATTCCTTCAAGAATGCGAATATACACCAACAAAACACAGGACCCTGATCAGGCAGCGCTTCATGCCGATTGCCTTCATCTAATTAACAACCACGCCAAAATGCACCGCGATAGCGAGATAACTAGCATCTGGAGTACATTAAAAACTTCACTACTAGAATCCCATCCCCACCAACGCCCAAGGACTAGACGCATGAAACTACATATTACCTAAAGTTCAGTCAAAGTGTGCAGTACACTTCTACAGGAGGACAATTACCAGCCCAAATATTCCAATAGTGACGTATGTGATACGGGTTTGAATGTCAGAAAAGGCGTAAGTCTTCTCAAGACAGCAAACATTCCTTGCTGAATGGCTAGTGTCAGCGAGCACGAAACCTAGGCCGAAGGCTACCTGGTGACTGCTTCCAACCACTTTACAACAACTGTGTTATTTTTTCCTAGATTTATGCCGGATACGAAAACCGATAGGTCCAAATGTTTGATAGGAGAGGATATTTTGACACAGCTCCAATTTTGTGTAGACCACCAGTAAATTTATATCACCAAAGCATGTGTAATAATCTGTTGTTAAAACACCCATTCTGAATTCTAATGACCAACGGTGGGGCAAAGGGGCTTAAGCTTTCAACACTTTGAAATTTCAGTAGCGGCCGTGATGTCAATTTTTATTGGATGGGACAGCTAGTCTCACACCCAACCTTCCACTTTTGCAAGATTTGTTCAAATAAATATCCAGTTTAACTGCAGTCATTAGATTTCCTCACTAACCATCACACTAACCAGATAGATAGATCACTGGAAACCGAGGAACAGTGAGCAGCTAACTATTTTGTCCTATTTTGCGGCTCTTCAGGATTAGGCGTCCACGATCCCATCAGGGATTGCGCCCCGAATCTTCACGTTACAGGATCAAGCTTGATGATTATTCAGAAACTTTGGAGTAGAATACAATGATCTGGTTTTCAGTGATCGCCCCCAAATGATGTTGGTTTTGTGAAAAAAAAATCCAACCCAAATTCCCGTCAGTGGCCACTGAATGGAAGTAGTGAAGCTTTAAAGAGAAGTTGTAGCCAGTGGGCTCCACTATATCAAGGAAGAGGTGAATACTCATCGAATATATTAACGAGGGTAGTACCATATCACAAGATGACTGAATGGTTAAAAAGCCGGATTTCGTGATCTGTAGGTCTCCAGTGGGGTAGTGAATAAGAATCTTCAAAAAAGTTTCAAACTAGAACGAAACGATTCTTTTTATTTAATAACAAGATACCACTACTTACCTGGTCTTGGTTCACAATAGTCTACAGTGAATCCATCCAGGATAATCGATTCAGATGGTTGAGTTTTCTGTTCAGCATAAGCTGCCAGCATTGATGTATACTGAGATATCTGAATTGGTGTGTTAAGAAAATTAAAAGAAAATTTTTGAAAAAACGGAAAAAAAGAAAGAAAAACAACAACAACAACAATAACACAGAAATGAAATTCGAAATTAAAGATATCCGACAAGAAAAAGTCATTATACAAAAAGAAAGCAGGTCATTCATTCATCTCACGATGTCACAGAAGAAAGAATGAAAAAACACTTACAAACAGGCAATGATAAAAATTTTCATTGAAATAAGATTAACCTCTCTACATATGATAAAGTGAATATTCATTTCCTATACTACATGAGGGGTTTGCCTTAGCTGCCTACAACACCTTGAGCTGCAATCTACGAATATTTGGTATGCGATTCGCTCCTCTTGTCAAATGCAAGAACATGTTACAGGACTGGACTACATTGATTCACTCCTAGTTTAGAAATAGGGAGTGAAATGGTAGAGCACGTTGACCGCTTCACTTATTTGAGAAGTATCATCATCCAGAGCCAACGGGTTTATCTCTGAAGAAATCTCAGCACCGATACAGAGGGCTAGTTTCGTATATGCCAGTTTACGCCATCTCTGGCGTAGACGTAATATCCGACTATCGACCAAAGGACGTGTGTACTGCTCTGAAGTCCGCTCCGTCCTCATTCATGGCCAGCTGTGAGAGTGGAAGACATGAAAAGATTAGCTGTCTTTGATCATAGGTGTCTGCGCTCTATCTCCCGTGTTAAGTGGTATAATAGGGTGAGCAATATTGAGGTTAGGCGTGAGTCGAGTGCTAGGTAAGGAGGGGAAATCAATCGACGAGGTTGTGAAGCTACATCGACTGAGATGGTTAGGATATGTGTTACGTATGCCTAGTCATCGCCTTCCTGGACCGACGGGCAATGTTAGTTGACATGGGGTCAGGCTGGAAAACAGCTAGCCAGTGGTGGTCAAATCCAAACCTTGGCTCCACCAGTCAATCAAATGCACAATAGTTAATTTACGCCAGCCACGTAGTAAGGTGTAAACTACCAGGCTGGTTAGGGTCATCAGGACGATAAAAACCAATGGTTGGAAACAATTGGTGACATGGCTCAAAATCGTTCTCAATGGCTGGCTGGCTCAGATGCATCCACTCCTTGTGACTTATAATTTCCAATGAAACTGTTTTGTTCTTCGTTATTACTCTTCCTTTGTCTCACACCTCTGTTTACTGTCTCTATTATGCATTTCTTGTACTTTCTTCTCTTGGTTTGTGTGCTACAAGGAGGGAGTGTGGCGACTTGAACTGGTGCACATCGGTGCGAAGTTCTATGTCAAAAACAGACAGACAGACTTAGTTACCTACAACCTAGAGGAGAGGGAAACACACAGACAGTAATCAACGTGACATAACTTAGGGATGAAGACAGACATACCTATTCCAACATCGGAATCGAGGAAAGTTTTACTTTTATGAACTACAAATGTCCAATGTTCCAATTCAAAGGGGCGTCTGTTCCGTCAAGTTGATGGTGTTGCGATGAGAAGCCCTTTAAGACCACTTTTCGCAGACTTATCTTGTCACGCCTAGAAACCGGTACCCTACGCCAACATATACAAGAAACGGATGTATACCTCTAAGATATATTGATGACAATTTTATTTTCTGTGGAAGTAGATCAAAAGACGAAGACATGTTGATAAAATCCAATTGATGCCATTCGATTCTCAATTTCACAGTAGAACACGAGGAAAACGATACTATTAAATTCCAAGACGTTTTTCTAGCCAAAATGAATGATGGCACAATCGAAAGATCTATATTTAGAAAGTCTTCATGGACAGGACAGTACATGCATTTCAAGAGCTTTGTTTTAGTCCAGTATAAAAAGAACTTAGTCAGAACACTGTTCAGTAGAGCACGGAAAATTTGTTCTGACAGTACCATCGAGCATGAAATAAAATCTCTGAAGGATATTTTATCTAAGAATGGATATCGTGAGAAGTTAACTAATAAATACTCTAAAGAAATTAGCCCCTGCAAAACAATCCAAACAGTTCGGAAGAAACTTGTCTATATCAGTTTGCCGTTCAAATGAGGTGATGTACAGGAAGTAGTCAAACGAAGACTAGATAAAGCTATCAAGAGAGCTTATTATGCTGCAAAACTCGTCCGTGTTCCTTAACACTACTAAGCGAGTGCTTCAACAATCTGAGAAAGACCAGTCGCCAATCCTCGACACTTCAAACTGCTGCATATATCAATTGGAGTGTGTTTGTCGAAGCAAATACATAAGTCCTACAGTAACGCGATTGTCTACTCGCATGATGCAGTATTTGCCAAAATGGTTGAAAACAGCTGAGTGCAAAGTGCCAAAATCCTCAATAACAAAACATCTTGTGGACAACGGACATAATATCGACGCAGTCAAGTCATTCACTATTGCAAGCAGACGGAGAAACAAGAAGATGCTTGCAAATGCCGAGAAGGCCCGTGAAATTCGAATTTATAAACCCCCGGTGGTCTCTGTGTACAAAAGGAGATGGTCGTCACTCTAAATCTACCATGGTAATACGACTTACTTATTATTCTACCTCTTATTTTTATTATTATTGCTGATCCATTTAAAAATATCCTTCATCAGTAGGATTATCTTAACTCAGCTCAACACTATTATTATTGTTATTATAACTATTACTATTGATATTAGACTGTTTGCAATTCTTGTTATATTCTCTAATGACTAATTGTTTATCTAAGTGATGTAATTGAAGCGTCATGCATTTTATCTTAATTTTAACCCCTCTTACTCTCTTTCACCTTATCTATTTGAATATGACCTGGAAAACACTCGCACGTGTCTTTCTGCATGACTAATTCAATGTAGTTGATTTGCTCATCAGTCTTATACATCCCAATGTAATTTCAAAAGTATATATACATACCCACATAAAAAACTTGGAGGATCTGGACTTCGGTGATGATATATCTCATTTCCCACAAACCGGAAGATACGCTAGTGAAAAGAAACAAGTTGGCAGAAGAAGCATCCAGAGAAGATACGACTTCAGGTGAACGTAGAGAAAACAGAGGTGATGAAGATTCCTGGCCAACAACAACAACAGACAACAATCAGTCAGCATAAATGGGAGAAATCAGAAAGGAGCAACCTCCTTTAACTACCTATCTAGGAAGCATCGTTTCAACTACAGGCGAGCGGAACTGACGAGGATATCAAAGCAGTGAAGGTTGGGAAAGCAAGACAAGCTCTCATTTCTCTCAAGTCTGTGTGGAGATCAGCAGCACTCAGCATACACCATGAAAAATAAGATCCAGATTTTCAACTTCAATGTGAAGTCAGAGCTACTTTCTATGCGGATCAGAGACTTGGCGCGTGATGAAGAGCACCTCAAACAAACTACAGACCTTCATTAACAGTTGTCTTCGCTCAATACTCAAGATCAGATGGCTGGCCAGAAAAGATCAGCAACAGAGATCTCTGAGAGCGAACAAACACAACAGGAACCGATTGTGCAACAAATATACAGGAATAAATAGAAGTGGATTGGCTATACTCTGAGGGATAGATCAAGTGACATCACTAGACAAGCCATTGCTCGAGTGGAACCCGAAAGGGTAGCGGCGAGTTGGTCGTCAGTGCAAGGGTGACTTGGAGGAGGTGATGTGAAGACGAGATGAAAGCGTGTGGGCGGACTTGGAGCGGCGTGAAAACGTTGGAAGAAAACCGAGAGCAATGGAAACCCGCGGCTGTTCCTCTAGGAATTAAGGGAAATTATATATATATATATCCGTGTAGAGTATTCAGCTGACAAATTCTACCGAAATCTGATGAATTCGTCATTAAATCCTGCTTTATTAACACATTTTGTTTCTTGTTTTTAGATTCGTATCGAGATCTTCAGTTCATTTTAGAAGAAGAGTTGAATAACACACGTCAAAGAGAAAAATGAAGACAAGATACAAGATATTATACAGGAAGTTGGAACAATCAATGATGACGAAAACAGAGACATTATGTATATTTTGTAAAAAGAGAAGAATTATATAAAATTTCAAGGTAACTCATGCATAACTGGTGATGATTACGTAATCATGCAAAGTATTTCTTGATACGTTGTTTAAACATAGGAAGTGAAGTGGTTAGTAGAGTTTAATGACGAATTCACCTATTTAAAAAAATTGTATCAGTCCCAATGGCGGTGGAATATTCGCCAACCATTCAAGTGGTTCGGGGTTCAATCCCCGGCCACCGACGCACACCTTTATCTCTCGAACCAGTAATAAGACTGGTAAAGAGGGAAGGTTGGGTATGGATTATAAACAAAGCAAAACAGTTGTATGAGTACCTTGATATGATTATGACTAGTAATCTGTGCTCGAAATGTGGTTATCAGTAAATATTACTGCACAGCACTGATGCCCCTGAGGCTCCAAGTCGTCTACAGAATACAAAGCAGTCTTCCTAAAAGTATACGAGTCAAACTTCTTCAAACTGAAGAAGCAATGGAAATTCACTTGCTAAGTCCTGAACTCTGCATACAGAAGTAGTTCGTTCGTTCAATCACTCCACCTGCAGTGGACGTAATCTATCTTAATAGATGACAGGTAAATTCTTTTTCTTTCCTTCTATCTCTTCATTAGTATTATTTTGTCTTTTCAATTGTAATATTTTACACTTTCAACTCTCCTGTTCTCTACACCCACCCGATTTAATCTCTACACTTCATTACTACTATTACTAACTTGACCAACGTTCAATTTATAGTCATTTATGTTACGTCATCCAATTTATTTGCTCACCTTTTGTTGTAATTTAAATGGCATTATTCTCTACCTCACCTCTACTTAGTCTCTCTCTACCTGTAATTGCCTCTGTTGCTATCCTGATCTCAGTTGAAACATTTTAGTCAATTATATTACGTCATCTAACTAACTTACTGACTAACTCAATCTTATTGAATTGAATTTTTGATTTTCCCGTCGATTGATTGGACCGAAGTGCTCGGTCTCAGGTTGACATGTCGGCT